AAGTTTTTCTAAAGCTAAAGACTAATCAGTAAGGATAGATATTTTTCACTTCCTCTTAGACTCCTGAATTCTAATAATATTTCTTCCAAATTTTTCAAGCTATGCAATAAAGCAGGAAATTTTGCTATGGGTACACTGTGAGAAAGTTAACAATGTGTCTGCACAACACATTTGTATACAGATGCAATATTCTTGGAGTACAGTTTATGTGAAGCTGTGTGCAGACTTGATCAGAGAGATGACAAGTTCTTATTTTGGCCATATTAAAATTAACATAAGCATTTTGTGTGCAGATGTTTTAAATACATGTACAGAAACAATAAAAGGCTGGGATTGGCTTCTTAGCAAAACCCAAGTAACCTCCATCTCTGCTTGTGTATTACGGATGCATTTTTAAGACCATTACTCTGTGGCTCTAGAGAGTGCTGTAGACATCAAATGAAGTTATAATTCCATTCATATTTTAATTTCTTTTACAGTATTGGAAAATGGCTTTCATTTCTTCATCTATGTCACCTTTGAGATGTAACTGTGCAGACAGCCTATACTTCAGGTAAGTGCACAGCTCACAGAAGAGAGAGCCTTAAGAGATAAGTAACATTTTCATAGCAAAACTTTCAATATTTCTTTTGTATGTTTTAAGGTTTTCTTACAAACTTATATCTTAAAGTCAGTGTGCTGACTGAGATAAATTATATCTGTAGGATGCTGTGTGGTTTGAAGCAGAAGTCATGTGAGTTTGACTGTTTGAGTCTGTCTTCTTTTGCTTTGTTTCTATTTGAAGTAAATTTTGCCTTCCCATCCCCCTCTTCTCATTTTGCTTCTGTTATGAAGATGAAAGACACTGCAGTACAGGGCACTATGGTTGTGACTGCTGTTTAGTAGTTACGTTCTACTAATGGCTTTGTCACAGACCTTTCAAATGATCTTGCTCAGTTAAATTACGCCCTGTGTAAAATGAAAATATTGGAATCGTAAGATATCCCAATTCTGAAATCCACAAAGTCCACTGATTCAAATTTCGGCTCCATGCAGGATCATGGAAAATTCAAACCCTATGTCTGAAAGTATTGTCCAAGCGCTTCTTGAACAACAGCAGCTCGGGGTCGTGTCCACTGCCTTGGGCAGCCTGTTCCATGCCCACGGCCCTCTGGGGCACAACCTTTCCCTAACCTCCATCTGCCCCTCCCGTGACACAGCTCCATGCCGTTCCCTCAGGCCTGTCACTGTCACACAGAGCAGAGCTCAGCACTGCTCCTCAGCTCCCTGTGAGGAGCTGTAGGCTGCCATGAGGCCTCCCCTCAACTCCTCTGCTCTGGGCTGAGCCAACCAGGGGACTTCAACTGCTCCTCATACATCTTGCCCTGCAGACCCTTCACCATCTTTGTAGCTCTCCTTTGGACACTGAAGGAGATGGGTCAGATGAGATCTGCTTCTTTGTGCTATCATAGGCCCAGTTCCTCCTGACACTATATGAACATTATCTTGAGAATTTAAGGACACCAGAAGCTATCTTGGGGAATGTTTTTTTATAGGGGTAACCTTTGCTTTCTTAATGCTACTGGTGAGGACCTCTAATCTGAAATGCCTTTCCTCCCCTTCTGCTGCTCTCCCACCTGCCCACTGGCAGGAAGAGATAAACTGGAGAGCAGGCAGAGTCGTTGCAGACAGGGAAGGGCATGATAGAATTCTTTATCAAATTAATACCAAGAGCAGTTATTTAAAGACACCTCCTGCCAGATGTAGATGACACAGGACTGGGCTGCTGAGAGTGTTGGGGTCTATTTAAAAATTCAATTCAAACCTACTCAAATTTCAATTCAAAACATCTTTGCTTTGCATGCAAATCACCGTAGCATCATTGGCAGCAGCTGTGCAGCCACTGGGCAAAGCTCTGCTGTTTGCATGTCTGTGCCAGGAAAGTGCTCCTTAGCCTGCGAGGAGGCACTGGGGTATGGCTGTGCAGAGCTCTCCATACAGACCCCTTGGCCCTGTGTGCATGGACTGAGAACAGCTGTGAACTACTGCCTGAAAACAGATGGGGCATGTGGCTGTGAAGAGGTAATCGTACATGGAACTATTTCATACTCATCACTGTTTTGTGAAGAATTTAATCATTCCACTAAAAATATTATATGGAATTAGTAACTTCATGTGATGTCTCTTACTCTTGAGTAACTAAAGGCCCTTTTATGTGTCTGAATAATGTAATTAGATATGTGTAGTATGGCTGTATATCACGTAGATACCGCCACACCGAACAGTTGCTGTTAAAATTTACAAAAAATATCTTGAGCAACTCAGCATTATATCTGGGTCTATCTGAGTACCTAGCATGATCTTAACTGGTTGTCTACAGCTAGGTAAGGTTAACTAATGCAAATATTCTACAGTAAGGGGAGCATCACTACTTGCAAGTCTCTGTTTCTATATGATGTACAGTTATAGTTTCAGGAACAAGTTAGAGCCTATGAAAGCTTCATATACATAAAGTGAACCTCAACATCCAAGGCAGTGCATATCTTGTTTTAACAGTTAGTTCTGATCTTATTATTTTGCAATTACTTCTTGTACACATACAGATCTTTCCTTGTGAGAAAGCTGAGAGATGCAGGCAGTATTTTTTGCTGCTAGTGGTGCATAATAATTATCAGAAACAGGTCTTCAGCAACAGTGTTACCAAGTCCATTTTGTTAGCTGAAATACAAGTGTGCTTTGTTACTTCTTAAAATTTATATGCTTGTACACATGTATAAAAATAGCCTCTTCTAACTAATTATTGCAGAAATAGATAAGTTGCTGTTACTATCAATATTTCATGGATATTGTGGTAACAGCTGATTTTAGAGCACTGGTGGTGGCAAAACAGTTCCACATTGAACCAAAATTACATGTATTCTCAGGATACCAGTGTGGATTTGCATTGAACTTGTAGAATTCTTAGTCCTCTAGTTCCCAGAGATGGCCAGGATATGTAATGGAAGGAACTTTATAAAGAAAAGGATATCTGAGAAGAAGGTCACTCTGTAGTTGTTTGCTAAAGTACTCAGAAGTGAGATGTCTTATACACTTTACAAGTGGGTGCTTGGCATATTGCTTGTGGTAGAAAATGCACCATATTGTCTGTGCATTCTATTCCTCTTCATATATGATGCCACATAGGCATCACTTACGAGGAAGTTTGCTGCTTGGACATGACTTGTGATAAGCATTTGCAACCTGAAGGGAATGGATGATAAAACCACACGCTTATGCACCAAAGATACAATAGGAAAGAGACAGTCTATCAGTCACGTGAATTGTGATTGGCCTGTTGCAATGGAATAGTCTTTAACAAAATAAATAAATAAATAAATAAATGAAAGCTCTTTACCTTCTGAATGGATTTTACACAGTTGCACAAAAGGAAAAAGACAAAAGAAGAGAGTAAAGTTCCCACCAGCTCTTCCCCACCAAAATTAGCATTGGCATAGGTGAAGTTATACACAAAGGAAAGTCTCACTTTCTTTGTGCTTCTCACAATGACATCAACATGCATGGCTATGAGATGACAAGAAAATACCTCACTCAGGATGAGTAACAAATTAGAATTTTCTTCAAAGTAAAAGAAATGATAACACAAGACCATCATAGGTATACTCTAGCTCTTTCCAAACATCCCTTGTCTAGATGTCAGTTAAAATCACTTGATTGGAGATCTGTTTTATCTAATGCAACACAGGGGAATATTCTGAATAGGCTATAAAATGTCTACTATGCAACTCGGTTGGGACATCTGCCAAAAATGCAGTTGGCTTTGTTTTTGACATTATTATCTACTTTGAAATTACTCCATAGAATAAATAGTGATATTCCGTGGGTAGAGGTAGATTATGGGGTTGAAACAATCAAATTGGAGCCCCGTAACTTTATGTGCTATAGGAGGATTCTCATAAAACTGAGATATTCCCATAATTAACCACTAGCCATGGGATATTATAATATATTCCATGGTGACTAGTATTTTTTTTCATTTCCCTCCCCCCTGGTAGAATTAGTATGATTAATTTTCCTCTGGTTTCACCTATTGCTGACATAAATCAGTATAATTAAAAGTAAAAATACCATAATATGAGGCGATCACTGTTCAGGTCAAACCAGCCAGAAATGACCAGTCAGACCTTTTCCAGTCAGCCTTTGCCACTAGGTTGAGAGCTCTAACTCACCAACCCAAAAAGGAGTGTGGTTTAGAAAATGTAGTTCAAAACTCTTCATAGTTCTAAATGCTAATTTCTAGTGGAATATTATAGAATAACTGGTTAACATGCCATGGAATAAACATCCTTACATCTAGTCTTGTCTCAGAGTGAGTCATTTTGTATTAGTGTCAAGAATTTGAGCTGTTGTTCTACTTTGCAGTTAATCATCAGAAAGAGACGGATCGTCTCATGAATATGCATGATGGTATAGTTGTCCCTTCAACTTACTAGGCACCTAGTTTCTGTAATGAGATGTACAATATCTGCCATTTAAAACAGCTGAAAGGTCCCAATTGGGAACAAATGAGAAAGCATCTGGCTGTTTCAAATTCCAGCCCTGTTTTGTCAGAGAACTCTGTAATTGCTGAGTACTTGGCTCCTACTCTGCTCTATGAAGCATTCAGCTCTCAGGAGCCTCAGAGATGCATTACACAGTCCAGCAAAATAGCTGTAGAACTCTCAAAATTCTTCCACTAGATGTAACAGCTCTTCCAAATATCTTGAGACTTGCATGCCCTTAACCAGGACCAAAGTTTGGGCTCCTAGAGCGTGCTCTCATGCTTAGTTTTGCTGATCAGCCTCCACTGTACCATTTGTCCCTGCAACCTAGATTTCACACATATTATTCACTGTGTGATGGTGGGACTAGAATGGATAAATGTGCTACCCATTGCTCTAAGAAAGCAGTCTGGCTGAATCTTAAATCACTACGCGGGATGGAGGTTAACGGTCAGATGGACATTCCTCTAAGAGGTTTCCTACCTGCTCTGTTAATTTCTAAAATTTCTTCTTGGGCCAGTGGGCAAGTGTCGCTCTGAGTACTGTGGTGTGGAGAGTTTACGACAGATTTACAATAATTGGGGGATCCCAGCTGGGGTGGCCTCGGGATATGCTTCTTTTTTTTCTTTGGTAGCTTCTGCTTAGCCATAGCTAAGGAGTAATACATTCCGAAATTGTTCACAATGACAGGGACAGGCATGGCAATGGTCAGCACGCCAGCAAGAGCGCAGAGGGCCCCCACCAGCATGCCTGACCAAGTCTGAGGATACATGTCTCCGTAGCCCAGGGTCGTCATGGTGACAACAGCCCACCAGAAGCCGATGGGGATGTTTTTAAAGTGTGTGTGTTCACTGGCACTAGGGTCATTTGGTTTAGCACCTATTCTCTCGGCATAATAGATCATCGTGGCAAAGATTAAGACGCCCAATGCCAAAAATATGATGAGCAGCAAGAATTCGTTTGTGCTGGCACGGAGGGTGTGTCCCAAGACCCGCAACCCAACGAAGTGGCGGGTCAGCTTGAAAATTCGCAGGATTCGCACGAAACGGACTACACGGAGGAAGCCCAGGACATCCTTAGCAGCTTTGGAAGACAGGCCACTGAGTCCAACCTCTAGATAGAAAGGCAGTATGGCCACAAAGTCAATGATGTTCAAAGAGTTTTTGATAAATTCCACCTTGTTTGGGCAGAAAGTGACTCTCATCAAGAACTCAAATGTAAACCAGACCACACAGACACCTTCGATGTAGGTGAGAAAGGCTTCAGTCTCTGCTTCCCTGTAGTGCCGCACCTGGGTGTCATTCCCGATGAATTCAGTTTCTGTCTTGTTCACAATGGGGTTAAATCTCTCGTGGGTCTCGAGGCAGAAGGTGGTGATGGAGACCAGAATGAAGAAGAGGGAGGCAAATGCCACATACTGTGAAAAGAAAGATATGAGAGAAATGTTAAGCAGTAAGTTAAGCACAGAAGCTTTGATTCTGACAAAAAAAAAAAAGAGAGACAAGAGCTGTGCTAGAACTGAAGATTATACCAAGCCTTCTTCCTCTGGACTGAAGATGCCAAGTCTCACCAGCTTGACATTCAAACTTGGAGGGAGAGCAGGACACAAGTACATGCTAATGTCCATTCCTATACAGATAGCACTTCAGTGTGAGTATGAATTTCAGCAAGCATTTGAATCTCAGAGCTTTCTTTGGTATTTCAGTTTAAGAACATACTTAAATTGTACCTGCCTAAACTGAATCTTTCTGGTCTTAAAGATAGTGAACACCTCCCAGGACAGTGGTCATACAGGAGTCCTTTCACAGCACTGTGTCAGAGGTATGGTGGCTGCCTCTTGCTCCCAGCCAGGTGAGAGCTGTGGCACTTCAGATTCCTCAGTAAGTGCTGGTAAATGCAAATGGCAGTCTCAGGTGGCCTCCACAGTAAGGATCAGAGTCTGGTTTGGCACTGTTAGGTTATATTACTAAATCCTAGGGACAGGTCAAGGAACAGGCACTTACCAAAACCAAGCTTTCCTGCAGTAAACATGACTTCAGTTTGGTTAATCAAATTATGATGAAGATGGAAGCAGCCCCCAAAGTCAGTGAATGTTTTTCTAAGAATTATTTGCTTTTTCTGCCTCAGCTCCTGCTCTCCTCAGCTTAAAGGAGATCCCTTGGTTATATTAGACAATAACTGAGGGGAACAGTCAGGATGAAATTAGCAACTCTAATGACCACACTTTCTCTGCTCAATCCTCCTTTAATAAATCAAGTAGATCACTGTTTAAACATGAAGAACTATATAAATTAAAATATTATTTAGATATTCTCGTAGTGTTCCATTAATTGTACTGTCCCTTTTCTAGCAGTGTAGCCAGAGCAGGGGTTAAAAAGAGCTAGTTTCTTTTAATTGTCTGCTGCCAGTAAATGCAGAGCAATAATCTGAAACAAATCACTGCCAAAGGAATAGAATAGTTAAAAATAACTTCTGCTTCATGCTACCAATGCTCTCCTGCAATTGAGAAGTTCCTCCTGACTCCCAATTTAGGTAGACATAGTATAAAACTGCACTTGACCTTCCCTATTAGCAAACAAAGTCAAAAGCAAGTATTTGCCAAGTTTAAGGTAAGCTGTTTAATAGAGAGAGATCACAGAATTATTTAGATTGGAAGGGTCCTCTGGAGGTCATCTGGGACAACTTTGAAGTTGGACCAGGCATGCCTTGTCTGATCCTGGGTATCTCCATAGCTGGGGCAGCCTGTGCCAGTATTTAACCAATAAGAGCAAAGAAGCTTGGAAGTATACAGGCTTTTCTCCATTTTCAAGCCAGCCTTACTGCCTAACAGATGAGAAGCTTACCCGCTGTCACAGACACAAAACCAAGTACCTTCCTTGCATCAATCTATCAGAGTATTCTTATGTGATGGTCCAATGTATATGTTAATATGTGCTAAAATCAGTGCTGAATATGGTAGTCTAGAAAGATAAGCAAACTAGAGGTTAGGGAAGATAAGAAGTAGGACTGCTGGTATCTTTTTATTGGATTGTCCTATTAAACAGGGAAATTTCTCCAGGCAAAATGTCTTCATCTGTAAAATGGGTTAAAAAATGATAAGCGGTGCTATGTGCTTTGTGATCCTAGATAAACAGCTCCTATATGTTATAGAATCATAGAACCATAGGATCCTTAGAGTTGGAAGGGACCTTTAAAGGTCATCTAGTCCAACTCCCCTGCAATGAATAGGGATATGCACAGCTGAATCAGGTTACCCAGTTTTCATTTTATTGTTATTGACTTCACCAATTCTCAACAGTCTTTCTGAAAAATAAGTCAAAGAGGCTTTTAAGTGGTCAAAGTCAATTTGTGCATGATATCATTAACGTTCAGAGCATAATTCAGCAAGGGTTAGTTGCCCAATTTTCTGTGTATCAGTAAAACAAGAACTAAAAAACATTTTTCAACAAGAATTGAGGAATATGTTCCCAGCAGCCTTAGAGCATGGCTGCTCCATTTCAGCCTGGAGCAGATTTTTACTGTAGAGTTTTAGAGCCCTGAGAATTCAGGATGCTGAAGGAAATGCTGACACTTCATTAAACCAGGTAGCACTCGCTGATAAGAAGCAGAGAGGGGAATTGAACCATTTTGCATTTTAAGGGATCTGTGAAAAGGCCCTTTTATGCTGACTCAAAATGTGATTCTTCTCATATATGAATACATCTCCCAAGTGAGTTTTTCCTGCCTAGGATAACTGTCAGGCTGCTCTTTCACATCAACTGTGTTAAAAAGTGCTGTTCTCCTGCAGTGAAGGGAAGAAATGACCAATTCTGGCAGGATATTTAAATTCTCTGCAGTGGTACATGCTAGCAGTGTTACCAGTAGAGAACATCACAACCATCCTCTCTCTTGCTGTTAGCTCTTGTGTGTGTTCTCTTTGGTTTCTGAGGAGAATTGAGAACTTTTAGTCTCCAGTTCAGCAGAGCAGGGAAGTATCTGTTGAATGAGCATGAATGGTCCTGCCTGTATTTAAGAACATGCAGAGTTCCTTCACAAATACAGGTGTGTTCTTAAATGCTTTGCTTCTTTGGAGCTGTAGGTCTGCTTTCAAGATTTCATAAAACTGGCTCCAAGCAATGCTATTGACAAGATGGATCTCAATTTCAATTTTTTTTTCACTGTCAAATTACTATCTAATCATAAAGCCTATTCTGTGTTTGAGAAGAAAAAATACTCCTTAGTATTGAAAGGCCCTTGATTTTAAATGTAACAATTATACCAATATGTCCCAATCTATATTTTTACATCTTGCCACATCTATAATGTGTCTTGTGCTATCTACATTTCACAGCTCTGGAAGATATTTAAAGCCTGCCTGGACACCTTTCTCTGCAGGGAACCTGCTTTAGCAGAAGGGTTGGACTAGTTGATCTCCAAAGGTCCCTTCTAAACCCTACTGTTCTGTGGTTCTGTGAAATTTACAGCTTCTGTAGTTTATGGTTGTTTTGTACAAGCAAATTACAGTACTTCAGCAATGTAGAGTCATCCAGAAATATCCTCGAGATATAGCAACTAAGTGGTCAGGGAAGCAGATGTGCTGTGTAAGTCAGAAAGGAGACAATTGTTTTATGACAACTTTTTTTGGTAATGTAAGATAGAATTTTTGCAGAAGGCTCCTGCCTCCATAGCCACAGGGCCATTCATAAGACAGAAACTGGTGGTCAGTGCTCTTCCTAGCAAGGCATCCCAAAAAAGGACTTTAAAAAAACCAGAAAGTTCCACTAAACTACACACAGGGCAACTACCGAGCAGCCTCTTAATGAAGGTCCCAACAGAGTTTCCCAGTCCCTTGGCTGATCCAAAGAACTGCAGAAGTGAATGAGAGCTACACCTGATAGTTCATTCACTGGCACCCACCTCTGGTGCATTCACCTACTACAGCCGACTGGATGTAGAGACTTAGAAGCCTTCTGTAAATGAATGTGTAGTATACAGCTGACATGGAAATATATTAATGACATATCATTATCACTCTATCAAAAAGGCCAAGGAAAATCAGCTATCACGCCTTACATGATAGCCAGTCAAATCCAGAGATGAGCAAAGCTGGTAAAATCTAGTGAAGATTTTGGACTGTTCTGTTGACTGTCTTGGAAAATAAGGCTATTTCTTTATATCAGTAATAACAGCCCAAACCAGATTGATTCAGTGGGTTGTTCTTGTGATATTTAATGTTTCTTAATCTTTCTGCTGCTTACATTTTACAACAGAATCTCTCAGAATCTCTAGGACCAGAATCTGCTGGGGTAAAAGAGCGAGGATTTTTTCAAGTGATGTCATGTGCTATTGAGTTACATAATGGCAGCTAAAATTTTCTATAATTAAAGAAAATACCTAGGTAATGTGTTTGAAGTGATCAAAACTCTTTTATCTGCTTTGACACGTGTGAATGATTCCTACTTAGCCTGGAGATGGTGCTTCCATTGCTTTTTTCTGTCTCTAATACCAACAAAGAAAATTCTCAGATTGTCCAGAATGGCAGAAACCATATGAGAAGGCAGAAAGACTTTTAAAGGGATGTTTTGATTAAGATGTAAATTATGTTAAAATGCCTTCATTATGAAAAGAAAAAAAATTACACTTCTGCATAATTTCTGCTAATTGTGATTCTATTTTTTAACAAGGCTATTTTGAAAGATGCTAAAATGCATCATGCCCATAAAGTGGAGAATTTCACCATCTAACTTATATTGCAATTTTAAGCTGAAAGGGGAGACTTAGATTAGATGTCAGGAGGAAATTTTTCCCTGAGAGGATGATGAGGTGCTGGCACAGGCTGCTCAGAGAAGCTGTGCATGCCATCCCCGGAGCTGTTTTAGGCTAGGTTGGATGAAGTCCTGGGCAGCCTGAGCTGGTGCCTGATTTCGTGGGTGGTAACCCTGCCCATTGCAGGGGCTTGAAACTAGATGATCTCTGAGGTCCCTTCCAACCCAAGCTGTTCTACCATAAAAAAGCATACATAAGAATCTTACTGTATAGGTGTGTGTATTACTATATGGCCTGCTTCTCCACTGCCATGTATCTAGCCTAGCCATTTTTGTCAGTGCCATGTGAATAGGAGGTTAATTCACATATAGTAGTGTTTCACACCGGCTTTGCATTGCTGTAAAAGGTGCAAGATAGAATCAGATCTAGCCTCTCATGAATAATTAGCCAGTATATTTCCATTCAGCGTGGAAAGGGAACAGATGGATAAAAAACATGGACAAACCTTGTAATACACAAGGATTAGGAGACTAGGTTGATTCAGGAAAAGGTCTGGGGATTGGACTGAGTAGTATTAAATACCTAAGTGTGACTGCCTGCTTCTGAGAATCACGTTTTAAAACAGTACTTCGTCTTGCATTTTTGAGACAGTTCTTATCTTGAAGATAAGAA